GTGCAGGCACCCGGGGGCTGGCGAGGAGGGCAGCGGGTGCAGGATCACCACCGGGCCAGGGCACAGGGTGCCTGGCTACAGCTGGGAGGCACCGGCCATTCTGGGTGTGCAAGGAAGGGGGTGCCCGGGGAAGTGCGTGGCACGCACGGCGTGCTGGGCAGGGGGGGGCGCGTGCACGGGGAGGCTCCTGTGCAGCAAGTGTGTGAGGCTGCGGAGCGGGGCTGAGCAGTGGCACCGGTGTCAGCGCTGGGCTTGCTTTGCAACAGCCAGGAGGTGTGGGTGTGCACGCGTGTGCAGCGTGGGCCGGGGGTGTGAGCTGTGCCCCGGCAGCAGGGCCACGCAGGGAGTTGGGGTGCATTTGAGAAAGCAGCCGCGGATCGTCCTGGAGGGACGCCGTGCTTGCGGGGGGCTGCGTGCCCAAGGAGGGCCCGTGTGCCGCCTGCCCAGCGAGGTGCGTGCCCGAGCGCACCTCCTGTGCCAGCCTGGCAGGGCCAGCCTTAGCCGTGGCACCTCCTGTGCGCTGGCCTTGGGGGCGCTGGGGAAAGCCGGCCTGTGCACATAGAAGAAACGTAGGACTTTTTTATCCTGCCTTTTCCAAATGAGCCAGGGCGGTGCTGGCGGGGAGGTGGGACAGGGGGAACCGACAAACTTCTTGTGAGCTGGGAAGGGGAGGGCTGTTCGCAGGTCAGCGCGGGCCAGGGCGCTCCAGCTAACGCTTCCTCTCCCTTTTCTCTTAGAGAAGAGACAGGACAATGGGCGCGTGTATTACGTGAACCACAACACACGGACCACCCAGTGGGAAGACCCTCGCACGCAGGGGTAGGCATCCTTGCGGTTTGGGAAGCTCTGTGCGATGGGCTACCAAGTGCTGAGAGCTGGCCACGCTGGGGGCCGAGCCCCCCGACAGTCCTGCAAGCTGCAGTGCTGGGGAGCTGGAAGCACCGAGAGCTGCAGGCAGCGCTGGAGCCCAGGAGGGCTGGGCATGGTGACCCTTGGCGTCATGGGCAACTGTCCAGCTTGCGGGAGCGAGGGTTGGGATGAGGAAAAATCCCTGGGACTGAGGAGCAGGCGATGGGGAAGATTGCAGGGCTTGTCTGGGCAGAAAGAGTGGGTTTTTCTCACCCTGTCACCTTCCCACAGGGCTCTGCTTGGGTTCCTGAGAGCTCTGGGTTGCGGCTCTCCATAGACCTGGCCCAGGTCTTCTCCAAGACCACGTCTCCTGCAGACAGAGAGCAAAGCCCTGGCTGTGGCTGGCCCTGGCTGCGGCCAAGCATGCAGCCCAGGCAGGGCTCCTGCCTCAGGGTGCAGGCGGGTGCTTGCTCATCCCATATCATAAATCCTTCCTTGTGCCTGGCGTGGAGCTGCAAATTCAAGGTGGTCCCCAAGGGCAGCTGTACGGAGGGCCGCGGTTCAGGGTGCAATGCCCCAGGTGCCTGCCCGCTGACCCCTTCCTTGCCGGCAGGATGATCCAGGAGCCGCCGCTGCCGCCTGGCTGGGAGATGAAGTACACGAATGAGGGCGTGCGCTACTTTGTGGACCACAACACTCGCACCACCACCTTCAAGGACCCGCGCCCTGGATTCGAGTCTGGGTAAGCGCTTTTGGGCTGGGCCCCTTGCCCTGCACCCTGGGAGCTGGAGCTTGAGCTGCCCGTTTGCAGCTTGAGCTGTCCCCTGGTTGTGACCACGGAGTGGGTGAAGTGGGTCAGCTTTGTGGCAAAGACACTGAGTAGTGGGTTTGGGGCCTCGCATTTGGCTCTGGTGGGGGCAAGCTGTGCCCCAGAGATCTTCCTCCCGCCTGGCAGGCGATGAGGCTGCTGGGGCCAGGCACCTTGCGCCAGGGCAGACGGGGGTGCTGAAGCAAGGCTTGTGTTGCTTTTGCAGGAGCAAGCAGGGGGGCTCCCCGGGGGCGTACGACCGGAGCTTTCGCTGGAAGTACCACCAGTTCCGCTTCCTCTGCCACGTGAGTAGAGCGGCCAAAGGGCCCCGGCAGTTTGGGTGCTGCTGAGCCACAGGGCTGGATGGGTGCGTGGGCAGGCGCAGGCGAGGAGAGCCACGGTGCCAGCCTGCACAAAGCCTTCTGTCTCTGCCTTGCTCATAGTCGAACTCCTTGCCCAGCCATGTGAAGATCAGCGTTTCCCGACAGACGCTCTTTGAGGACTCCTTCCAGCAGGTGAGGAGGTGCCGGGGCTGCAGAGCCCGGGGGGGTGTGGAGCCGGCCCTTGCACCAGCCCCAGCTGACGCTCCCCCTCGCTTCTCCCCAGATCATGAACATGAAGCCGCACGATC